GCGTCCAGGAGCCTTGCAGACATGATGAGTCTGGCTTTCTGCTTTGAGCTGTGGCCCTCCACAAGGCGTCCTGCAGCCGTGCGGACCTAGTCAGCCTGATTCCCACTCCTCGTCCAGTGCTGACACGGGCACAGGCAGCATAGCCTGCACCTGCCCTGAGGTACAAGGGCTCGAGTAGTGTAACGAGGTGGCCACGGGCTCGTGTTGGCAACGGGCAGCTAACCTGCACTGAAGTGGACTGGTGAGCTACCAGTCTACATTGCTACCACCATCGCCACCTCGCCACGGTCACGACAGCGTGACTGTTGACGGTGGGAGGAACGCTGGTGACGACTGACCACACCGCAGCGGCAACGTTTAACAATGATGAGTACGACAGTTCATGTGCGGAGGTGCATAGGACGTTTAGAATGTAAAAAAGGAGTGCTATAGTGCATTGTGTGCGAGTCATCAAAGTTTTCAGTTGGGTACTAAAGTCTGTGTTTTGTGTACGAAAAGACCTGACTGCCGTTTGAATTATTCCAGATCCTAGGCCCACATTCTATCATCACAACGACATTTTGTTAACAAATAAAATAGAACTCTACTGCAAACCTCAGTAGAATTATGATGTAATACTTCGAAACTAACGTCATTCATGGATTACCTACCAAGTAGATCTGAGCGAGCGCTATGACTAGACTTCATAAATTGCGTTTACGGCCGTCAAGTGATTAGCTGGAAAACCTAATTGCTGAATTTTCTTAATTTCTTTATTCTGCATTTGAATTTTTTTGTGAAACAACTTCACCTCTTAGGGTAGACTGGCTCATGCACAAAAACTGTATTATCTTCCGCAGGCAGCCTTTAAAATTTGTGAAGGTTTTTCCTGAAAGACCTCATATATCAAGAATGCTGTCCCAGTTGCACACGTGTGTCTCACTACCCTTTACAATTCCTCTGCTCGATCTTGCAAGCTTGTTGCAACAGAGTCGGAACCAAGAAGCGCAAGCAAGACACATGCTTGCTCAACGAAATATAAATGTTTGCGAATGTATATTCATGTCAAGACTTAGACAACTGCACTGATTTCGCAAGTGCTACGTCAGGGCGACATGATAGACGCTAATCAGGATTCACGTATATGCTATATGCCTTTAATCATTTTATTAATACCCACCGGTAATGAAACTAACACTGCCAACTTCCCCACTGTCGTGATATTTGACAGCAATAAACACGCGGTAATATCGACTATCTATCACTTTTTGGCACCCCAAGCTGAGGAAAGGTATCAAGACGCGCGAGCAGCACTTCAGTGCACCTCAGTCACGTGTGCAATCATGCATGCACTACGCATACCTTCAGTAAGCGACAAACGTAGAGCAGCCATGGATTCCTAATGGCACTCAGACACGACGGCAATGGCTGAAAAGCATGATCAATTCAGAGTACAGGTCCATTCGTTTCACCTGCACTTACTAAAATGGTTCACAGAGGCGCTGTATTTCGGCATTCGTTTCACGAGTTCATCATAGCGGCAGTGGCACCACAGTATTCATTTCAAAAAAGTTCAACTGTCGTGCAAGACTATAGTTCACGAATTCCCGGCGTCTGCTCGTGAGGTAGTGCCGAGTCTGTGCAGTACAAGATGGCTAAAGGTGCAGTAGACGACACAGCCGATTGTATTCGTGTTTGTTCTAGTGACGTGTACCAAGTACGACAGTGAATTTTTTCTAGCAGACACATGCCAAACAACGCAACTGGCGCCGTCTTTTACAAATCACAGCCTCCATAACCCTCGAGACAACCGACAAGTAGTATAGGCAGCTTGTATGACATCTGCACTCTGGTATTTATTACCTAGTGCTGCACCTGCAGGCAGGTGTTGCAAGGAAATAAATACGGCGCACAAGACCAGCCAGTCAGTGTGGAACCCGCCAAAGTACGTGTGTGTGATTCGGTCCAGCGACCGGCATGGCCCAGGACTATCCGGTTATCTCAAGTGGCGACGAGGTCGACTGACGAACCGGACGGGCACAGCACAATCACACGTCGTCATGCCTGTCGTCGAGAAGCTGGATGTGTTCGACCCGAGTACATCGGAGTGGACGGAATACCGTGAGCGGGCCGAGCTGTACTTCATCGCGAACGACATCCCTAGCGAAAAGCAGACAGCTGTATTTTTGACATGCTGCGGTCCAGAGGCTTATTCTCTGCTACGAGGCCTCCTAGCACCAAGCAGGCTTGCCCAAGCAGGACTGACCGAAATTTTTGCCACACTTGGCAAGCACTGCGCCCCTCACGTATCAGAAGTAGTGGCAAGTTTCAAGTTTTTCTCAAGACATCGAAAAGAGGGGAAGATCGTAAGTGACTACATTGCCTCGTTGAAGAAATTAGCCGAAGACTGTAATCTTGCAACATTTCGAGAGCGCATGTTGCGCGACCAGATAGTCAGCGGAATCAATGACGTAACCATGCAAACACGGCTGCTGGAAACGACGTGTTTAACCTTCGAAACTGCAAAGGACACCGTCGTAGCTATAGAGGCTGCACGTAAATATTCACGCACATTGAGCTGCCAGTAAGCACAGCTAATATCTCGCGAAGCTCCGGAGCAAGCGAACGTTGTCCCCTCGGGGAAAAATGATAGCTGTTGCTTCCGTTGCGGGGGAGGTCATTCTGCACGTCGGTGTAAGCACGGCAGCACGATCTGTCACAACTGCCGCCAAAAAGGGCACCTTGCAAGAGTTTGCAGAGTTCAGCCGGGAAGTAGAAATTTCGACCGGAGCCAGTCTAGTCGCGTGAACAACCTGGGTGACCTGCCTGTCTCTGCTGAAGAGCCCGAAGTTTTCAAGTTGTGGACCCTTCACACAGCTAGTTCGGAGCCAATGCGCATAGCGGCTGAAGTTAATGGCATAATGCTCGATATGGAGTTGGACACCGGCGCTAGTGTGTCGACCATTGGTGACGGCAAGTTCGCCGCGCTTTTTCCGTCGGTGCCGTTGGAGCCATCGAGTGTGCAGCTGAGAAGTTTTTTCGGCGACATGAAACGCGTCCAGGGAAAGCTGGAAGCATTGGTCATACTTGGCGACAAGGAGCGCCAGCTACCACTATTTGTCGTGAAAGGGGCGTGTCCTACGCTGTTTGGACGAAGCGGGATGAAGGCCTTCAAGCTAGGCATCGCTCAGACGGAGGGAGTCAACATCGTGAAGTCTACGGAAGTTCTGGTAAGCCAATATCACGAAGTTCTTGCAGAGCAGCTTGGCACGTTTCACGGTGTTACAGCGTCTATATCCGTACAAAAGGGTGCGAAGCCACATTTTGTCAAGGCACGTCCGATACCATTTGCTTTGCGCGATAGGGTTTTTGAAGAACTACAGAGGATAGAATGGGAAGGCGTTATGAAACCGGTGAAAACTTTTCAGTGGGCCGCGCCCATCGTTCCTGTATTGAAGCGCGACGGCCGGGTTCGGGTCTGCGGCGATTTTAAGACTACCATAAACCTGGTGACAGTCGTCGAGTCCTACCTTATTCCTAGGATTGAAGAACTTTTTGCGCGACTTACAGGGGGCAAGAATTTCACAAGGCTTGACTTGCAAGATGCCTACCAGCAGGTTCCACTCGATGAAGAGTGCCAAGAGCTAGTCACCATTAACACTCCGAAGGGGTTATACCAATTCACAAGGCTGCCGTTCGGGGTTTCATCAGCTCCGGCTATATTTCAGCGAGAGATGTAAAGTCTGTTGCACGACCTTGACCATGTCCTAGTGTACTTTGATGATATTGTGGTCACAGGAACCAGTGACAAAGAGCATTGGGAAAATTTGGGCCCAGTGTTGGATCGCCTGAAGATCGCGGGACTGTGACTGAAGTTATCCAAATGCGAATTCATGAAACTAGAAGTCCAGTACTTGGGCCATATCATTAGTGCGGCTGGGCTGCGTCCAAACCCGGCTGAGACTGAAGCAGTGCTGGAAGCCCCCGCACCCCGAGCGGTCAAGGAACTTCAGAGTTACCTCGGATTGGTTAATTTTTACAGAAAGTTTTTGCCGAACCTTTCTGCCGTAATACAGCCGCTCAATAGTTTGTTGGCGTCGGGAACACCATGGCACTGGGAAACTGATGAAAATCAGGGATTTCGGAGAAGCAAGGAGCTATTGGCCTCTGCTGCTATATTGGCACACTTTGACCCAGGAAAGCCAACTGTGCTTGTCACTGATGCATCTCCCTTCGGGATTGGAGCAGTACTGACGCAGCGAGAGTCATCTGGAGAAGAGTGCCCCATTGGTTTTGCCTCCCGCAGCCTGGCAACCGCGGAGAAAAACTACAGCCAATTAGATAAGGAGGCATTGAGCCTTGTTTTTGGTGTTACAAAGTTCAGGCAGTACTTATGGGGCCGGCAATTCGAAGCCGTCACAGATCACAAACCGCTGCTCGGCCTGCTCGCAGCAGACAAACCAGTTGCCGAATCCTGTTCTCGGAGAGTGCTAAGGTGGGCCTTGCTGTTGTTGGGGTACAGTTACGACCTGAAGTATAGGCTGGGTTCACAAATTGCACATGCCGATGGGTTAAGTCGGCTACCTCTGCCAACTGCCGAATTTGTTGTTGACTGCCCTGCCGAAGTGTTAATGCTGGAAGGAGTATACCCAGGGGTGCTGTCGTCAAATGCTGTTGCGGCAGCCACCACCAGAGATCCGGCGCTGTCACAAGTAAGAGCAGCGTTCTGGTCAGGCTGCCAGATAAACCTAGGGTCAGAGGGAAGACCCTACGAGACGCGCTTTCATGAGATGAGCGTGCAAGGTAACTGTCTATTGTGGGGCAACAGAGTCATTGTTCCAAAATCCTTGCAAAAGGAAGTCCTCCAGCTGCTGCATGAGAGTCATCCAGGACTGTCTAAAATGAATGCAGTTGTGCGTAGCCATGTGTGATGGCCTAGCTTGGATAACGATATAGCAATAACCATTCAAAGGTGCCGTATTTGCCAGGAGCATCAAAGAGTGTCACCACCAGTGCCCGTCATGCCCTGGCCGTTCCCGGAGAAACCGTGGTCACGGCTGCATGTGGACAATGCCGGTCCTTACATGAACACCTATTTTTTTATCGCAGTCGATGCGTTTTCGAAGTGGATTGAAGTGTTCCCGGTCTCTATACCCTCGGCTGAAGCAACTATTTCCTGCATGCGCATTATGTTCGCAAACCAAGGCCTTCCAGATGTGGTCGTGTCGGATAATGGGCCAGCATTTACCAGTGAGCTTTACTCCACATTCCTCAAGAAAAACGGGGTGAGGCAAATGCTGGTGCCGCCGTATCATCCAGCGTCAAACGGTGCTACAGAGCGGGCCGTGCAGACTGTCAAAAACAAGTTGTGGAAGGCTGGCCCTGGAGATTTTCGCACTCAAATTGCCCGCATGCTCCTGACATACAGGTCAACGCCTCACGAGGTCACGGGTTGCTGTCCGTCGGAGCTGTTGTTGGGGCGGAAGCTGAGGACTGCGTTGGACCTGCTACACCCAGACCTCAAGACCAAGGTGCTACAGAAGCAACTTAAGCAGAAAATCAGATGCGACCGAGGAACAAGACCCAGGGTTTTGGGCCACCCGGGTGACCAGGTGTTCGCAAGGAACTTCCGTCCAGGACCTGCGTGGCTCCCTGTAGTCGTCACCGAACAACGCACTTCGTCTATGGATCTTCTACTGGAAGACAGACGACGGTTAACTCGACATCTGGATCTCACCCGCCAGGCCCCTGAGGAACTGAGTGCAAACAACCAAAGGTCAGGCAGCCCGATATCTAACGGTATTGCTCCAAGCTTGGACGTGGGTCAGACGCAGCTAACTGGTCTTGCTCCAGGCTTGGACGTAGGTCAGAGGCAGCAGCTATCTCCGGATCATCTTCACGACACAGAGTCTAGGCAAGATCCCAGGGAAAACGTGGCGAGGGAACCGGAACTTGCTGTCACAGCACCCAGTACTCCTGTCCTGCGTCGAAGTACCAGAATTCGACGACCAGTATCGTGCTACGCACCTTAACAATTGTTGGCAACCATTAATAAAGGGAGGAGGGATGTGATAAGATTAGCTTGCCGTTCTGGCGCCCAGGGGCATCGATGTTGCAGGAAATAAATACGGCGCACATGACCAGCCAGTCAGTGTGGAACCCGCCAACGTACGTGTGTGTGATTCGGTCCAGCAGACAGGCAGGCAGGTAGGTTGGTAGGTAGGTAGATAGATAGATAGATAGACTCAATGTTGCCAAAGTTTGCTACGAAATGCTTTGCATCTAAAAGATGTGGAAGTTAAAAGGCACGTTTGTGGGGCTTTATAAGTGAACATTGGTAATGTAGTGTTAAATGTACCCAACTTCTACTATTATGCACTGATAAAAGGTGGGTTTGGTTCCCAGGCAAGCCAAATAAAAACTGCTTTACATTGCAAGTGTATTTCACTGGTGTACTGCCGTGACGGGAACACATATGTGAAGAATCACAAAAGCGTCTGACTCGCTTTTGTCACTGATGTTTAAGCTGTATCTTCTCTCCCAACATGTACATTTTTCACACAGTTTCCTTAGTGATCTTGATGGAAGCTCCGGCATAAATCAGTTTGGGATTAAAAAATTTGCAGCCACTCCATTTGACAAATATGGATGAGACAAGGAGCGGGTGGTACCAGTGCTGCCTCTGTTTTCGTCAGTGCTTTTCATGAGCTGGCTGCACATCTAGGGTTCTCACAGCAAACACGACCACACCAACGAATCCTATAGGTCGAACGATGTGGCGAAACACGCATACGTGAGGCGTCTTCCGTCCCGTTTCCAGGCTCAGCTGATGTTTGACCAATCATCTTAGACAACGGACAATGCCCATTGATGACGTCGATCAGGTGACGTCATGGTGCAGTCACTAATTTTTGCAATCTGCAATGCTTTGATAATATCATTACTTAACGTCAGAGCTCAATTGCTTGGAAGAACTTACGTGGTATTGTAATAGAATGAGCACCAGCACTCTCTGCTATTACCCAGACCACTCTGTGCACCATCTTTACACGTCCGAAAACCCTGACAACCAAAAGACGGAGTACATTGTAGACATGAGAACTAAATAGCCTGTACCGAGAAGACATGGAAAACCAACACTCTGCGTAGCCACCCTTGATACATCAATATAGGCACATCAAAATATTTATCATGATCACCAATAGCCTGACTACGTCCACTGCAGTACAAAGGTCTCTCCCATGATCTGCCAGTCAACCCGGTCGTGGGCTTGCTAATGCCACTTTATAACTGCAAGCTTCCTAATCTCGTCAGCCCACCTAACTTTGTTGCACCCCTAACCCGCTCGCTTTCTCTGGAAACCCAGTCAGTTATCCTTAATGAGCATCGGTTATCCTGCCTACAATTAAGCTACATGCCCGGCCCATGTCCATTTCTTCTTCACTTTTGATATCTTTAACCCCGGTTTGTTTCCTGATCCGCTATGCTCTGATCTTGTCTCTTAAGTTTTCACCTATCATTGTTCTTTCTATCACTCGCTGCTTCGTCCTCTATTCAAGCTGAACCCTCTTCATGAGCCTCCAGGTTTCTGCTCCATAGCTAAGTACCGAGAAGATGCAGCTGTTATATACCATCCTCTGGAGGGATAGTGCCAATCTATCAGTCATGATTAGAGAGTGCTTGCCGATTGTGCTACACCCCATTCTTATTCTAGTTATTTCAATCTTGTGGTTCGGCTCCGCGGTTATTACCTGTCATAAGTAGACGCAGTCTTTTACAACTTCAAGTGCATTATTACTTATTTCGAAGCGCTGTTCCCTTCCCAGGTTGTTGTACATTACTTTCCTTTTCTGTAGTATAATTTCAAGACCTACCTTTCAGCTCTCCTTGTCTAATTCAGTAATCATGAGTTACAATTCATCACCTGAGTTACTCAAATACAATGTGATCAATTAAGTGCATGTTGCAAAGGTACTCTTCATTAACTCTTATGTATAACTCTTCCTATTTTGGGCCTCTGAAAACCTTTAGTAAGCATGCAGTAAATAGCATTGGGGAGATTGTATCCCCTTGTTTTACACCCCTCTTGATTGGTGTTCTGTCCCTTTCTTTATGGAGCACTATCGTGGCAGTTGATCCTTTTGTATGTTTCTTCCAGGATGCTTATATATGCATTGTGAACGCCCTTATTCTGCAGTGTCTGTATGACTGCTGATATTTCTACTGAATCAAATGCCTTCTCATAACATTTCAAGGCTATGTATACTGGTGCCCTCTTCTGACGGGGAAAGTACCAGAATCTTGGAAAAATGCTAACATAATCTTAGTAGACAAGGAAGGACATCACAAGATCTTGAAGAAAACAGGGTGATCAGCATCTGCTCCGTCGTACACAAGCTATTTACAAAGGTAATTGCTAGTAGAATCAAAACAAGATTAGAATTCATCAGCAAAACAAAAAAGCGGGATTTCAAACTGGCTACTCAACATTCGGCTACATTCATACTATCGATCAGGTAATAGAGAAATGCTCAGAATACAGCCAACCACATCGAAATCTATTTAATCAAATATAATTAGACTGATAAACATTTAAAAACCAGTTTCAATACTAATCACATCTTAGAACGCCACCAGATTGCACTCATTACGGCATGCGACAAATCATGCCTCAAACAAGCACTTTGCTTCTATCTGTGGGGTTTAAGGCACGTAGAGAGAAGCGCTTGGTTGAGATCATAGTTGGATGCTCAAAGTGCCTTTTAAGCAAGAGCTTAGTTAAAGACACTGGGCGTGCAAACATTGACAGAAAAGAAAACACACCACAAATGGCATTTGTGGTGTCTCCTTTCTTGAGTCCTTGTTCGCACGCCCTGCCTTTTTAGCATCAATACCTAAGAAGAAGGTCAGCTTGTCATTCCAAGAGCCTAGTGCACTTTCTTTTTGTCTTGTGGGAGCATCAAAGTTAGACATTGTTGGGTTTACCGAACAAAAACACGATACATGCAGAAAAAATAGTTTATTTTACCATGAACGTAAAATATAAAGAACGATAATACTACTGCAAAGTAATTGAACGATGTAGTAAAGCACTTGTGAATGATTTAGTAGTTAGTTTTATAACTTCCTTTGTCCGAGGAACATGTGATAATGTCACCTATTTTTGGGATGATTGTCACAAAAGAAAATATAGAGAAAATTAGCAAGCATTCAAGAACAAATACAATTTGTAAACCAAGTTATCTGAAATTCTCCAAGCACTAATTCTGGAGCAGCCACATCTACACTTAAAATATCACAGAAGAGCTCTTCCCTGTTTTGTCAGTCAGCTTTCCGCACGCTACATAGAAAGCAACTGAAGCTCGTGCAGGAACTTCAACTGCCCTCAATGCTTTTCAGGAACCAGTCAGGCAAGCTGTACAGCTTGCCGAGATCCACCAGACGCTTGCACGTTATCTGGTAGGATGACGGCTCATACTTGAAAAGATACACAGTCCTGCAAATCAAAAAAGATGAAAGTCAGCTTGGAGGCTATGTGTTTTTTCTGCCCAAATGAAAACTTTTGGACTCAGAGATATAGGACTGTATATATGTAATGTGCTACAGTCGAATGTCATTATTTCGAACACGCCTAATTCAAACTCCCGGTCAATTCGAACTCACGATGAGGTCCCATATAAGCTATGTGTATTCCAATGGGAGGAAACGCGCGGTAATTCGTACGTCCAAGCACTTCTGACGGTTAATTCGAACATACCGCGCTTCCAAAATGCTCTCAGCAACCTGCCCAATCCCACTGTGGCACCTGCGACACCTTAACGCTGCCTGCGAAGGAAATAAAAGGAAAGAAAAGGCTGCGGTGGAATGTTTGCTCTCTCTCAAATGCCGATCTGCGATGCGCTCATGTCACACTTCTCCCTTTTCTGTTCCTGCCACGTAAAGACCCTGCTCTTTTCAACGTCGTGCGCCAAAAGAGAGGGGAAAAAAAGAAAGCCGTCGCTTGGCGAATGAATGTGTGGTTGAAGGAAAGGAAAAAAGCTATCTTCTGCAGCCTTAGCCCCTTGCGGGAGCACAGCTCCATGCCTCGAGGGGGAGGGGGGGGTCTCTCCCGCGCCAATGCCACGCTTCTCCCTTTTCTTTTCCTGCCACGTAACTCTTTTTCTTTTAACGATGTACGCGAAGAGAGCGGTCGTTGTTATGGTTGTCTTTAGAAAGTGTCGGCGCTCGACATTTCCGCGCGCAGCTTTTTTTGCCAGGTGAATGCTGAAGTTGAAGTAGAAATGCTTTGCAAGCTGCGTGCGAAATAGGTTGACTGACTGCGAAACAAACTTATGCAGACGCGCATCACCGGTTGCTTCAAAAATAACGGATGTCCTGTGATTTGTGAATAAATGTAAGTCTTAAATTTCCCCCTTGTGTGTTAGCTCCATGCACATGTGCCACTGCATAGAGAGCCCTTCGTTTATTTAGCTTTCATTAATTCGAACATTTTTAATTTGAACTAATTTTCGGGTCCCTTCGAGTTCAAATTATCAAGATTTGACTGTATTTTGTTTTTTAATTCTTTGTAACAGTCAAGTGGAAAGGGCTAATCATCACCAAGTAGCGGGGACAGGAGCTCCTTTGTTTTTTATTTCAATAAAAAAATTAAAGGTGGTGACGGTCACGAAACAAAGCCACATAGAACCATATTTACAGGGTCAGCCTGAGATGGTGGCTTTTACGTCTGTTACTCAAAGTTGAAATACACCCGATCAGGTGACGCATTGTAGCAATAACAACGGGGCACACAAGTTGCACGAAATGCTTGGCGAGATAATATTGAAAGGTATTTTTAAAGCTACAAGATGTATCAGATAATTTAGCTAGAAAAGAAGCACTGAGTATAATATCTAAAAGGCAAAAGCTCGTCAAATCTCTGTCAGAAATAAGAAAGGTTTCCTCCCTGAAAGCCTTTTAGTGGCAGAGACATATTTCCACATCAAATGACCCACATAACATGACTGCATCACATGACCCAGTAATTCGAAGC